AGATTAGATAGTAAAAGTCCATTATCGTCCACACTATTATATATATAATAATAATAATAATAATAATAATAATAATAATAATAATAATAATAATATATATGATTGTATTGTTGTTGATGAGACTCATGAATGCAAAATCCCTCCATAAAATATTAAGTCACATTTGTAATCGTCTTCCATCATTATAGTGAAAAATCAGAGTCCCAAATCGTCTCAGCTTGTTGAGTACACTCAAGGCTGGTCCATTAGGGATATGTTTGACACTATGAAATATTTGATATTTCTGAATGAAGAGTTTGACTTAACTAAAATTTATCTTTTGTTGAGTACACTCAAGGAGATAAAATTTAGAGACATGTTCTTGTCCTACCACAATTCTGATTTCCTTCCTTGATCCTTATAACTCTGACAGATTATATGAAAGTGGGTGGTTCGATTTTTTGAGAATTGAATTTGATGTTTTTAATGTTTGTTTGATTGATCTCAATGTAGGAAATTAATATAGGATCTCCAACAGATGAATATGGGAAGAATATAATGATCAACCACACAATGGGATGAAGCAGAACTTGGATATATATATATAGTAAAAGGTGTTTAGTGTTGTTTAGGACTCAAAAATCTATTTTAAAATGTCATCCACAATTTTTTGGAATAGGGTGGCGATTGAGCGAAAATCCAGTGTCAGGTGAGCAAAATGCTGGTGTCAAGCGAGTGTTGAGTTACTATTTTTAACGCTCGAGCATCATCTTGGCGTTGAGTGAGATTAATAGGGAGACTTTATCTCTTTGTGCCATACTCAAACCCAAAGACTCCTAATTGACTTATACAACCATCCAAAATAACTCTTTGACTATTATAACTCTTTCATAACTTTAAATTTGTGCAACAAATAGCCAATTAAAATAAAACCTAACATATGTGAATTAGATGGGATGCAAACTAGAGGAGGAAATATATACTTCATAACATTGATAAATGATCATTCCAAGTTATGCTATGTCTACATGATAAAATATGAGGGTGAAGCATTTAATGTTTAAGATATATAAAGCCAAAGTAGAAAATCAATTAAATAGAAAGATTAAAACTCTTAAAAGTGATAGGGGACGTGAATACTTTTTTAGTGAATATAATCTTTTTTTATGAACAACATGGCAAATACATTAATAGAGTACATCTAGAACGCTCGAACAAAATGATTTGATTGAGAGAAAAAATATGACATTAGTTGAAATGATAAATATTATGTTATTAAGTGATAAGTTGCCAACTATCTTATGTGGTGAAGTTTTATTAAGTGTATGTCACATAGTTAATAGGTGTTATTCTAAAAGATTTAAGGTTTCTTCCTATGAATTGTGAAAAAGGGAGAAAACCAAAAATTGGTTATTTCAAAGTGTTGGGTTGCCTTTTAGTAAGAACAAGGATGCTAAAGGGCTAAGTTGAGTCCTAGAGAGATTAAATGTACTTTTGTAGGATATGTCCAAAATAGCAAGGCATATCGTTTAATAAAATTAAAAACCAATGTAATTATTGAATATTGAGAAGTAGAGTTCTTTAAGAAGTTATCATATTCAGATAATAATTTTTATAGGGAACCTCAAGTGGAGATTCTTAGTTCTTTAAGATCACAAGTAGAAACAACTTTTCAAGTTGTTGAAATAAGTGAACTGCGCAAAAGTAAAAAAGCTAGAAAGGAGAAAGTACAAGGATCAGATGATTTTGATTTTCAGCTTATTTCCTTCTACTTGGTTGACAGAAATGAGAAGAGTGTCACAAGAGTAGTACCGTATGCTTTTCAAGTGGAAATCGATCCTAAAATTTATATCGAGAAACAATGTCACCTAGAGATAGTATTTTTTTGGAAAGATGCTATAAATGACGAAACTGATTTTATAATGTGAAACAACACTAGGGAATCAGTTGATTAACCATCGTGATCAAAACTTTTAGGCTGTAAATTAGTATTTAGAAGGAAGTACAATGCAAACGGAATTCTTATTATTTTTAAAGCTAAGTTGATGGCCAAAAGGTGTCAACAAAAACACCGAATAGATTACTTTGACACGTATGTATTAGTTGCACAAATAATATTTATTAGGATTTCAATCGCATTAGATTCTTCTCTCTGTGATTTACATATATATTAAATGGATGTTAAAATGATATTCTTAAATAAGGATATCAATGAGGAGGTTTATATGAAGCAATCAGAAGGATTCGTTCTACCCAAAAATGAAAATAAAGTATGCAAGTTGATAAAGTCTGTATCTAGATTAAAACAAGCACCAAAGGAAAGGTATGAAAAGTTTAATTTAGCTATAATGTCCTTCTAGTTTGAAGATAATAGTGTTGATAAATGTTCATATTCAAAACTTTTTGATAATCATGTTGTTTCCATTTGTTTATAGGTCGATGACATGTTGTGAGAAATCAAATGCAAGATATAAGAAAAAGAAAAAAGGGGTTTCTATATTCCACAATCAAAATGAAAGGTATCAAAGTTACCAAGACTTGCGGGTGTTATATGTTGAGCCAATCACATTACGTTGAAAATGTGATTAATAAGTTCAATCACTTGAATATTAAAATGGCTAACACTCCATTTGATCCAAGTTTGTGATGTAGATTGAATCTACAAACACACGACAACAATAACCAAACGGATTGAAATCGAAAACAAACTTTTATTATTTCGTAAACAACCAAGAAAACCCTAGGAGGCGTCTTGCAGTGTCTTAAATATAAAAGAAAAGATAACCTACTGGGCCAGCAGTTCCAAAATGGGTTGGGCTACAAAATGGAAATAACAAATGATGAAAATAAATAACACAAAAACTTAAAATGCTGTTTTGACACACTAAACGACTTCAAATGCCCAAAAACCGTCGTACGTCAAGACAAAGCAGTGAGTTCAATTCGAAACGCTCGCTACCTTTCTAAAATGGGGTTATGGGCCCAAAACGGACACCAAACGCAAAAGTTACATTAATTTCTTTGAAAGCCGACCATCCAACCGTTCTATGTATGCCAATGCCTGTTCCTCTACATAAACCTCATCATTCTCCCCGGGATCAATGGGATTCACCCTCAAATCAGAATCGGTAGTACTATCTCCCACGTTGTCTCCATGGTATGGCAAAAGATGCTTTACATTAAACATATCAGAAGTCCGTATATGGGAAGGAAGTCGAAGGCGATAGGCGTTGGGGTTGATCTTCTCCACAATTTCCACTGGACCAATGGTACGAGGTGATAACTTCGAATGCTCATGAGATGGCACTCGATCCTTAGTCAGTATTGCCCAAACATAATCCCCAATGTCAAACTCAACAGGACATTGATGCCGATCAGTCGCCTCTTTATACTTACGGTTGGACTCTAGCAGATTAGCTCGTGTTTCCTCGTGAACTTGTTGCAAACTACGAACAAAGTCAACAGCTGTCCCATGCAGCCGAGTCTTAGAGGGCAGAGTCAATAAATCAACAGGGCTAGGGCAGAATACTATACACAACCTGGAACGGACTGAAATCGGTGCTTCTATTTCTAGCATGATTATACGCAAACTCTGCCTGGCTAAGCCGCTGATCCCATGAGCGTAGATTATCCCCAACCAAGCACCGCAACAAGTCACCCAAAGAAGGATTAACTACCTCTGTTTGCCCATCAGTTTGAGGGTGATAAGCACTACTAAAATTGAGCGACGTGTTAACTGACTTCCATAAACTCCGCCAAAAGTGACCGATGAACCTCGTGTCTCTGTTAGACACGATGGAAGTGTGCAACCCATGCAACCGATAAATCTCTCTGAAAAATAGCTGAGAAACCTTGACAGCATCAGTGGTGCGCTTGCAGGGAATGAAGTGCACCATTTTAGAAAAACGATCTACCACCACAAAGATGGAATCATTATCACGTTGTGTGCTCGGTAAACCCAGGACAAAATCCATGCTAAACCCAGGACAAAATCCATGCTAATATCAGTCCACGGAGCTGCACTGGTAAGGGTCGATAAAGACCAGCATTTTGTGGCTTTCCCCTTTGCCACGTGGTACACCCTGCATCGTGAGACAAACTTCTCCACTTCACGACGCATAGTAGGCTAGAAAATGAAGCGCTAATCAAAGCCAAAGTACGATCTCGCCCAACATGACCTTCACCATGGAACTCCTCAATCAATTTCAGACGAAGGCTGCAATTTGGTATACACAATTGAACACCTCTAAACACATACCAATCCTCTAACAGAAAAGAGGAATGGGGTCCCTGCAGTAAACTATGATAGATGGGGCCAAAATAAGGGTCATCAGCATAAAGAGAGACAAAGGTCTCAAACCCGGTGACTGCTACCTGTAGCCGCGCTAATAACCCATGCCACCGACTGAGCGCATCTGCCACATGATTAGAAGAACCAGCCTAATGTTTAATGACAAAATTGAACTAATGCAAAAAGGCAACCCATGATGCATGACGGGCAGATACAGACTCCTGGTTTAACAAATGCTTGAGGGCTTCATGATCACTGTATAAGACAAATTATCGTTGAAATAGATAATGTCGCCAATGGCGAATGGCCTGAACAACAGCATAAAGCTCTGCGTCGTAAGTGCTATACCTCCCACGAGCCCCTGCCAACTTCTGACTGAAATAAGCTATTGGTTTTCCTTCCTGACTGAGGACAGCTCCGATACCCAATTTAGAGGCATCATAATGTAATGCAAAAGGTTTTGTGAAATCAGGCAACGCAAGTATCGGGGCTGAAGTCGGACGCTCCTTAATGATCAAAAACGCTTTCTCAGCCTCGGGTGTCCACTGAAACTTACTCTCCTTCATGCAATCATTAATGGGAGACATGATGGTGCTAAAGTGCTTAATAAATTGTCGATAAAACGACGCTAAATCGTGGAAACTCCGTACATCAGAAACTGACTGTGGACGCGGCCACTACCGGATCGCATCAACCTTAGCTGCATCCACCGTTACCCTACTGGCTGGCACAACATACCCCAAAAACAAAACACTATCGGTATAGAACACGCACTTCTTAGTGGCTGCAAAGAACTTCTTCTTGCGTAAAACAGTAAGGACTTCCCTTAGATGCACACCATAAGACTCCTCCGACCTACTGTACACCAATATGTCATCGAAGTATACAACAACGCACTTACCAATAAACGGTCGAAGTGCTTGGTTCATTACCCGCATGAACGTGCTTGGTGCATTGGATAGTCCAAACGGCATAACTAGCCACTTAAATAATCCCTCCCGTGTCTTAAATGATGTCTTCCACTCATCACCAGGATGGACTCTTATCTGATGGTAACCACTTTTCAAGTCCAGTTTGGTAAACATAGTTGCGCCGGCCAACTGATCAGGCAAGTCATCTAGCCTCGGTATCGAAAAGCGATAACGAACTGTTATTTTGTTGATGGCCCTGCTATCTATACACATCCAATAACTCCCATCTTTTTTTGGCACTAGGATTGCGGGGACTGCACATGGGCTGAGGCTCTCTCTGATGTACCCCTTCTGCACCAACTCCTCTACTTGTCCCTCAACTCCTCATGTTCCACTGGGCTCATTCGATAATGTGGCCGATTAGGCAATGACGCGCCCGGTACCAAATCAATGTGATGTTGCATATTCCGCAAAGGTGAAAGACCCTGTGGAAGGTCATCCGGAAACACATCATGAAACTCAGACACCAAGGCGGCAGCTTTGGGGTGAAGACCCGTCCCCTCGGCTGCCATAGGAACTGTCGACACTCCTGTCGCCTCAGTTCCCACTAACAATAGTACAACACCTTCTGCCAGCATCTCACGCACAAACAAAGATCCAGAAAGTAGATTACTACTGTCCCCTGCCGAAGACAGACACTGCTTATCTTTGGAGGATAGTAGTACAATCTTTTTACCCGAAAAGGTGAATGTATATGCATTTCGACGCCCTTCATGGCACACATCCCTATCAAACTGCCATGGACGACCCAACAACAAATGACACGCATCCATCGGCACCACATCACACCAAACACTATCACGATACACATTGCTAATAGAAAAAGATATCAACACACGGCTAGTAACACGAATTTCATTACCTCGTCTCAACCATGCTAGGCTATAGGGAGCAGGATGAGGTTCGGTGCTTAACTGGAGCTTCTGCACGGCCGCTTCAGATATCACATTTTTGCAACTGCCCGAATCAATGATGAACCTACACACTTTTCCTCCAATTGTACACGTAGACAGAAAGATATTGTTTCGCTGTAGGTCCTCAGACGACCCCTTAGGCTTAAGGCACGCCCGTCGGACCACCAAAAGAGGCCCCGTGTCACCTATATGCACAATTTCAGCCTCTT